ACAAGAACTTTTGGTCAAATGTTTGAACCTTTTGTTGATACGCAAGTGTGTATTTTTTCACAGAACCTAATTTAGAATACCTCCAACATTCTTTTATTGGAAGAAATTTAACGAAAATACGTATTAACAAATACTACATATATTAGACTAAATTTCTTGTTCCACAATTTTTGACAATTTTTAAGTGTTCGTGGTTTTAAACATTCCAAAATATTGCATTTTTCATGAGCTGTGTTTAAAATAAATGGTAAAAAATCGGGCAAAAACATTTTGAGATACATTGTTTTTTTTTTATTCTTACGTTTACTCTACTTTTACTTAATTTTCTTGTATATTTTTCCAAGAAAAATATTATTTTTCTCTACAACATTGTCTCAGACGTAATTTTGATCAGAAGTGTCGTTTCCATGCTACAGTTTTTAAGAAAAAAATCGATGGTGCCATTCTGACAATTTTACCAGGTTTAAAATGGCCGAATTTTAGCAAAAATGTGAATCATTACTCATAACAACTCGTTATTTCTCCTTAAGAGATTTATTTCTATTTTACGGATTATTTCCAAGAAGAAGAAGTTCCACCGCAGCTGTCAAATCAACAAGGTTTAAAATAATCGCCAACAAAAATACTTCAAGTTTATGCACATTATGTTTTTTTTTTCAATATTCAGCTCATTTTCAAAATGGTGGTAGAGCTTCGAGCTGCAGGAGAACTCTTTATCTTAAGATCCGCAATATACAAAGTTTCATGCAAATCGGAGACGGTGGAGTTATGTCCGGAACAGAGGAAAAAAAAAACAGTTGCCCAACTTCGTAGTTGGTACACGTCATAGATTATTGTACGAATGATATAGACGTCCATCCGATATCTCATCGAAATTATGGATTAATCACTGCTTCTGTGATGGTAGTGATACAACCTACAATGATGCTGGTGTGTATAGGAAGGATTGTTGAGAGATGCAGATAAGTCCCTCCCTGTGATTTTAAAGCATTAATCAGGGTCTTCAGAAGATAGGCCTCCCTTAGCTCAGTTGGTAAAGACCCAGCTACAAAGCAAGACCAAGTTGGATGTAGCTGGGTACGATTCCCGGTTCAGTCTAGGAATTTTTCGGGTTGGAAATTTTCTCGACTTCTCTGAGCATTGAGTATGATTGTACTTGCCACACAATTATACTGATGCACTAATGGTACAGGCATCGAAAGCTCTCAATTAATAACTGTGGAAATGCATCTAGAACATTAAGTTGAGAGCACGGAATAAGCTAACATGCGATAAGCAATAAGCTTGAAATGCGAAGAAGAAGTAGAATGAACCCTCATTAATCTCGAATTGATACTTGGTAAGTGTTACGGGAGGTAAATCTTACGTCCATTCCAACCGTTCAAGCATCGTTAACAAAACAGATTGCATGATATTACCACCTTGAAATGTGACTTTCTGACGTAAGCTTTCGAATTAAAGTTAAAACTGAACATCACTAGTTTTTCTGCTATAGGAATCCTTAGAAACGAAAAGATTTTCGGTTCATGTTGGAAAATTCGTTTTATTAACTTTTCTCATATCATTTATGGGTTTCCTGCTCTATTCATATACCTACTCCCTCGTAATAGAACACAACCACACACTGCTGTATTCGGATGGAAAACGCATTTTCCTATTCCCCTTCCTCCAGCATCGAAGTATGGGTACATATAGTGTACCTCAAAATTGTGCGTACAGATGTTCTTAAATTTTAGAAAAAAAGCTTAAAAAGCACAATTTATAGAGATACGTTTTTGAATTTCTGGCTGCTAAATTATCATAAATTTATCAATTATTGGAACAATGTTGGGCTTATTTGGTTGTGTTTGTTAAAAATAAGAGCTATTTGAGAAAATCGTCTTTTGCTTGAAAAACCTTAATATCTTGAAATATAATGAACTAAACTCAAGCGGCGCCGGTGGTGTAGTGGTAAACGTGATTGCCTCTCACCCCAGCAGGCCTGGGTTCAATTCCATTCGGCGCCGCTGGGATGTTCTGAGGCATAAAATCTCTGATCACGCCTTTCTTCGGAAGGGAAGTAAAGCCGTAGGTACCCGGTTCATGAGTTGATGGGTCGAAATGTAGGATTCAGGTGTGGGACCTGCCGCCCTGGCGTCGGTAGCATTGGTGCTCAGCACGGAAAACAATATCGACGGAAAACAAATCAAGGAAAAAAGAAAATGAACTAAACTTTTTGAAATTTCGCTCATTTTAGTCATAATAAAGATCATTCATATTCCACTAATCATACTAAAACTCGTCCACTAAGTAAAAGTTGAAAATCCTGCGTTTTACTCAAATAAATCTAACTTCATTCAAGTTATTCCAATAAAGTTCAAAACTAAAACGACTTGAGGGAGAGGTAGCTCATCGATTCTTCCGGTTCGCCTCCTAGCATCGTGCTATAAGGTACCAGGCGATAACCAGGGTAGTTGATCGATAGCTCGATGACGTCATTTCGTTGGCGTCTGCAATGGGAAATTTCTCATAGCAGGCGTTGACGATGGGACGTTGTTGAGTTGTTGAATAGCAACTATCGTGGTAACTCACCGATTACCTGTCGATCTGCCAAATTTGGAAAGACGTCTGCATTGAATTGTCTCATATAATAATATTCCGCCCACTATATCACAAGAGATTGCGAGTAGCTGAGTGGAATGGAGATAAGTTAAGCATTGGGTACAGGACCAAGTCTGGGTGGTGCCAAAAGATGAGTGCAATAGAATCATCAAATTGCCATAAGGCACGGAATGAGACTATTGCATGGCTGGGTAGTCAAAGTCTTCCATTCGTTAGTCATTTCAGGTGGATTAGAACAGGTGTTTGCATGCGAGATGCAAATTGATTCAGAATACCACTGCATGATCGACGCAACACTTGGTTCAGTTCGTTATCAGTTTGATTGTACCGACTACACACATTCCTACTACCGAGTGGGAGAGTCAACCACAGCTTAGCCGTTGATCGCAATACATTCGCGTGGGGATACTTTCGAGAAACTCATTCCTAGGGGCATTTGCATGAGAGCGGGAGATATGAGCACCGATCGATGGCTACCTACTAGATGAGGCGACGATCTACAACGAGGGAGATTGACCGAACAGTGTTGCTTCACCATCTCGTCGAGACCGGTCACTAACCCGGTACAATATATTGCTTGTTTTGTAACTAGTTTATTAAGTTCAATGTAGTGTTTTAAGAATAAAAAGTTACTTTTAATGTTAATGTCGTGTGAATAAATGTTCGGTGCAAGTGTCTTAAAATAAACTAAGTGATTGTGAGAAGAAACCAAAATCTATTACGGTTCCAAACAATTAGTCCCTGCATGCACTACTAGAACGCCATCGTGGGCGAGGAAGATGAGCAACGAGCGTTGGTAAATTGAGGTGAGAAGTCTTCCGCTGTTCTCCACTACTACAACAGGTTTAGGTGGGCGTTGGCCAGATTTTGATTTTTCAGATGTAATCCTGGATAGGACCCTGTCATTGAACGTCGCGTGAAAGTGGAACTTAATGAAGGCCTAAGTACTTTTTCGTAGTTTTTAGTTTTCGGATTTGAAAGATCGTCGGTTACAGTGGCCTGCTTACTGAGCAGAAAAACGCTGTCCCAGGTCCTTACATATCAAAGAGATTTATGGTAAAATCGCTTGTTCCGGGTTTGAATCGATACACAAATTTGAGTAACGGTATTATGTGATATGAGGGGCTCGGTGGCCTGAGAGCAACCGTTTTGCTTACTGAGCAGAACATCATGAGTCTAATCTCAGGCCCGGGGCGACCCCAGCGTAGTGGTTAACATCCATTTCTCTCACGCCAAAGTCACGAGTTCAAATCTCACCCCCGGACAAGTCACGAATGACCCAAGAGTGTTAAAGTGACTATAATAAAAAAAAAAAAAAAAAAAAATCTCAGGCCTATCCATATTCAAGATTCGTCAATCGTTTTATTTGTTAATATGACTACATGGTAATAACAGTAACTCGGTGATTAAAAAGGTGCTGGTCTGCCTAGTGGCAAACGTTTTTGCTTACTGAGCAGAAGACCGTGGGTTTAGTCCCAAGCTCCTTCGCGTTATCTGATCGTTAGGACATCAATTCAGCTTATCGTTTACCAAAACGAACCCTGCTGCAAACCCAACCCTCTTATCCAAAATCCCAGTGATTCCTCGTGGAAGTGCAGAGGTGTTCTCGGCTTCCCTGTGTTCGGGCGCGGCCGGCGCTGGTATTGCCTAATTTAAGATCACCAGTTTTTACACATTGAGGATGATTGCTAGTCCCAAGCATCGTCTATTGGTTCTCTGTGTAATTACAGCTGATCTGGCAGTAACAGAGTAGCAACCGTGGGCGGTAAATCAAGCTCAAGCTCAAGCTCAAGCTAAAGTTCAAAACTAAAACGATAAATCAATAAGCATCTGTTTAACCACCAGCCAAGATTAAAAATATACATATATTCACCATGTTTCAAAAAATGTTCCACTAGAGTGTACGCTCAATTTGGCGATACACTGTAGATAGAATGAAGATATGAACAGTTGGATCCCATCGCTGAATGGGAAAGTCGATGGGAAGAGAGTCTCTGAGGAAGAGGTGGAACATTTCTGAACGGATATACGACCGACGAAAATCGACGATTCGATAGGAAATGAAGAGATATCGAAATGTTGTGGTAGATATTACGAGTTTCTCAATTCGCATGAATAGGCTAAGTTCGGTTGCTTGGTGAACGATTTGTGCTAAAGTTTTCCCCCGGATAAACGAACAAAGTTTGGCGAGAGTTATGAGGAAATAACGATTCAATTATGAATTGAATTTCTCCGAATGGGAAGTAACTGTTGCTTGCACGTAGTTGTAGGAATCTGTTCGATTTGCAAATATTTGTATACGTTTCTACCTGACTCGAGGCTGTGATTCTCAAGCCAGAAACAAAATCGATTATCGATAACTTGGGCCTTTTTTATTGGTAACTGATGGGAAACAATACATCAAATTTCCGTTCTCTGCAGGCGTCTCATCTGGCGGTTTTCCATGTATTCTTGCTCCTTGCGTCTAATTTCTTCTTCTTCGGCTTGAATCCTTTCAGACTCGTCCTTTTGCTCTTCTGCTTTCTGTATGAGCTCACGAAGCATATCTAAATGCTGGTCAATTTTATTCGCCAAAAATAATTCAAAATTTGTCGCCAATGACACTTTCACCTTGATTCCAGCAGATTTAGCCAACTGAGCCCAGTGGATTGGCTCTAACAATGGATGTTGCAGCAATTTGATGACCGTTAAGTACGGCTCAAAGGATTTGACTCTTTTCAAAAATGTGTGAACAACGTCTTGAATTTGGGGTTGCTCTTCAAACTGGTCAATCAAGCTCTCGAAGGAAGCTTTGTACTGACTTATTATCCTAGCCACGACGTCTACTGCTACACTAGATAATGGATTTTCTCGCCAAGTTTCCTCCACGTTGTTGTACTCTGCCCCAAAGGTCCACAGATTCTTAAAGCTTTCGAAGCTTTCTCTCAATTCAAATAAGTTGGACAAATCTATAGCTGGAAGTTCAAACAGATCTTGACGCTTGTTCAGAGTCTCCCCATATTGCATTAATTCTTGGACAGTTCTCCACAATTTCTTCACTTCGATCGATACCTCTGCTACTTTAGACACATCATAGACTGTTGTAAATTTTGAAATGTGCACATTCACCTCTTCAACTCGGCTCCCGAATCCGGCTTCATCGCTGACTTGCTGCTTTCGGAATTTGTCCACTTCACCTTCATGAAATTCGTAAACGGAGATCATCTGCTTCATTATTTTCTGTGGGAAGGCCAAAGCGTGCCACTTTTGATAGAAATCTGGATCAGGTAGAGCGTAACGGAAATATTCCAGAATTTCATACTCAAACACTACCGTCTTCATGCGATCCTCCAGTTTCTCCAGTAGTTCAGGAGTAGTCTCCATGAATGCTCGAATTTCATAAATGTGTTCAATTGACGTGGGTTTTTCGCACATTATTCTGATAATCTCGTTGTAATCGAATACAATGTCGGAAGTTTTAACGCGAAGACGTTCGGTGAGCATTTTCAGCAGTGCTGCGATTAACTCACGACGCTTTTGAATGAGTGCTTCACGCAGTGGATGTACGTTAATACAAAACGATCCTATCACTATACTTAACGGTAGGGTACGTTCCAAGCTCTCGCACATCCGTATTTGAAACGAAATCTCCTCCTTGACTTGAAGTGAAGTTTTACTCGATCGAACGGTTCCGATGTACTCCACTAAGTTGGTGAAGAACAGTTCTTTGAATTCCATGAACCGTGCAGCGTAGGCTTTCAGGAGGATGATGGTTTTACGATACAATAGGGCAAGATGTTCTTTTTGCTGTTGAATCACAGGGTCAATCAATCCCATGGATGACAGGTAGAGATCAGGATCAAAAATCAACGATCCAAACAAGGAAGGATCAATCACCTGTATATCGTGGGTTCTAGCTACTGCTTCATCGAACAATGTTTCCAGACATAAAGAAAACTCATCTGGATGCGTGGAATAATAGGGAACGTCATCCCCCATTTCAAGCAACAGATTAAACACGGGTCGCTTTCCGGAATCGAAAGGAGAATCGATCAAATTTCCCTGCCATGTGAAGTTCTCCTCTATTGATAGCGCTAACGAACAAGGGTCACACAAACGGTGACAGTATTCCTCAGTCGATTTTTGCACCATATCACGCAGCGCTGTCTGCATCCTGAACTTGATCTGTTCGATTAACCGATAGAGTTTCATGAATTGATACATTGTCCATTTATCGACAGTGACGTCGAACCACCCACGTCCAGATTCTAAAAGGCTTCCATGGACCTGTGAAAAAAAAAAAACGGTGAATCAGAATATGATAAATCAAATTCTTCACGGTGATAGTCCAAACACTCGGTCTACTTCAAACTAACCTGCATGGTAATATTCTCAATCCATCCGTTCTTCAAATACCTCATCGTCCTCTTGAGTTGAGCTTCGTTCATTGTTCTGAACTCTGCCATCGTCATTGAACTATTCGAATCCAGAGAGAAAAGTGCCATCCTTCTAACTATTTCACATTCATAATGAACTTTTTCGAGAGCTTGAGTCACAGCTGGATGACTATACATGATAATTCTTCTGATCGATGCATGCCGACCACTGAAATCATACATGCCTCGAACATTATCCTTAAAGGAACGGTCAATTTTATGCAGTTTGACCGCAACTGGGTTAATTTTCAGCCATTTATTCTGCTCCAAATACAGATTCAGAGACAGCATAATGTGAACCTTTCGATAAATGCATTTGAATGCATCCAGAGCTTCCTTTCCGGACTTCTGGGAAATACGTTGTTCCGTATTAGCCGATGGATCAAAGAAATCTTCTACATCCACAAGCTGACGAAGGTAATAGAATCGCAATCGATTTTCCGCATAGCTTCTATTATCAAGCGCCACACGAATCCGTTCAACAAAGCAAATGGGATTCTCATAAACGAAACACAAACGAACTCGGGGAACTTCCCAGCAATCACCATTCTCCATAACTGTCCACAGGTAACTACTACGATCGTAATCAGCTACTGTTACCGGGTGCCAAACCCATTCCTCGGAATCTCGTTTTTGAACCAATGCAAAAGCCACAAGATTGTCGATCGACAACCACCTTTCCACTGACATAGGATCGTACTCGAAGTCGTCGAACCATTCCAGCGGAAGAAATGATTTGTTAGAAAGAAGTTGCGGATGAGGTTCAAGGCCATACAATAGTTTATTATTGATATGCTTCTGCCCCAGGATGGTTTCCAGTTCACAAGGATCACTTAGTTGGACTGCCAACTTATGAATGTACTGGAATTTACATGACTTCAACAGATCCTGCAATTAAAGACAATTGTAATTTAGATAAACTTGCAATATTGTTCTGACGTGCTCACCGATTTGTATTTAATTCCAGGTCCATCTGGGGGTTTCAGTGATTTTCTTGGAGAAATAACAATTTCAAATAAGCTTTTCCGATTGTTAACCTGCTGTTGGAAAGAAGCACGCCAATCCAGCTCCGGATAGGACATCTTTCAAAACAATTATCTGCAGAATTGGAGCAGCTTGCTGCGTTTAATCAAATTCGATAAGATCTTCGAAGTCACTATTCTAATACCATAGAGGTAACTCTAAGACTAGTAGGTCCCTAAGAAACGTGCTCAACTTTTTGGTACTTCTCTGGTACTATCTTCGGTCCCAAGCTAATCGATGCACCCCTCGAAACATAGGAACATCCACGAACCCCTCATTTTATCTGTCAAACTTGCATAGCGAATCAAAACAAACATAGTATAGTACTAGAATTTTGACTAGAATGGGGTAAGTTTATCGATTTGCTTGGGACCAATAGGCTAGTCAAGTAGTGAGCCAATTTAAAATCGTTAGTTTCCACCGGTTGCTAATACAGACTAATGCAGCGGACACACTTGGATGACAAACTATGAGCATGAGCATTATTTGTATAATCAATTAGGTGCACATCCAGGGTCACACTTGTGTATAGTTGTTGTATAGTGCTCATAATTATCATACAAATAATGCTCATGCTCATAGTAGGTCATACAAGTGTATTCGCGGCATATATTACATGATATAAGCCATAGTCTGTCCGGGGTATAAACCTATCATAACATATGTCGGTAGTGTTTTAGTGACGATGTTTTATAATGAAAAATATCCAATGCGCTATGTCTGTTTGTCTGTGCTTGTCTGTCGATATTAAAAAAAGATTAAGTAAATTAAAGAACGACAATCTTTCCAACTCTATGATTCGTATGTTTGAAAACTGATATTGCATGCTATGGAACGTCAATACAAAAAAAAACTACAAGGAACAGCCCTATGGGGTTGTACCATAGAGGTAACTCTAAGACCAGAAGGTCCCGAAGAAACGTGCTCAACTTTTTGGCGCAGCTCTGGTACTCTCTTCGGTCCCAAGCTAATCGATGTACCCCTCTAAACACAGGAAAATCCACGAACCCCTCTTTTTATCTGTCAAACTTTTATAGCAAATAAATACAAACTCTTGGGAACTCCATAGAAAAAATCCAATGGCAATCTGAGAATACTTTTATGAAATTTGTGAAGAAAAATGATTTTGGAGTACATTTTCTTGGGAACTAGGGGTATGCTAAATAGAGGATAATGCTAAATAGAGGATAACAATTGAATATGAGAATTACTCTAGTAGAACTTCAAAGGAATTCGGAAAAGAATTCCAGAAGAGTGTGCAAAACATATTTGGAGAAGAAATCTAAGGGATTTGTAAGGAGAACTGCACATTAATTCTTAGGAATCTTTCAATGAGAGTAGAATTACAAGGGAAGGAGTGTATAATTAGAAGGGATTTGAAATAGAATTCTGTAATGAATTTAATGAAAGTTCTGAGAAAATTTCCAAAGGGTTTCTTACTCAGAAGAATTTCAAGGTCATTCCGAGAAAAAATTAGAGATAATTCAATCGGACGATAGTTTCAACGTTTTGAGGAATATTTCATTGGAATTCTGAGAAGTATTCCAAAGATATTCCGGTGATATTTTTTAGAGAATTCAAAGAAGCGTTCGAAGCGAATATTGAGGAGAGTTTCAGAAAACGTACGGAATTTCTATAATAATTCCATGCCTTCGGGAGAATAAAAAATGAACGCTGAGGAGAACTCCAACCATCAGGAAAAATCTCCTGAACTGTTCGGAGGTCTTTAGAACTACTTAAAAGTTCCAAAAAATGTCCCTGAAGTTAATCAAAGTGTCTTGAAGGTCTTTTGTTGTTTGAGAAACTTGTTTTTAATTTCTTTGAACTTCTTTGGACTTTCCTAATGTTCCTCAATTTTTCGAACGGTCATAGATCTTCTCTGACTGAACTGTCGTGAGATGACAATGTGACGCAAACCCATTTAGTGAATTATTCAGAAAACAAATACTTCTGCTTAACCTCGCAATGATTGCGAAAATTATCATACTTTTTACGTGACCTGTTGAATATGATTTTAACAAAATTAAAATTGGAAACGTTGATGTTTAAAAAAGTTTTAATTTTTACTGATTATTCGAAACTGTATGGTATACGTCACATTGCCACTTTGCTCCAAAATCAAAATGTGTGCAAGTGTTAAGTGTTTTTGAATATGGTGAAAACCGAAAATTGAACATGCTGGCGACACTTTCTCATCACACGGCAGTTAAGTTTCCAATCTTTTTTTTCTCCAGAATTCTCCAAAAATACAATACCAATACAATATTTCTCTATTTCTCTCCTTTTTTCACTGTTCCATCCTGAAATTCTAGAAATCTCTCTAAAGTTTTTACTGAATTTAATAAAAATTTCTATAATTCCGTGAAGACTGAGCTTTGTGAAGAACACATTTTTTTAACATCTCTGAAGATCTATGAATCTGGGAATTTCTCTGAAAATTTGGGAACTTCTAAAGCTTCCCGCAATTTTTGTGAAATTCATGGTACTTCCTGGAGCTCTAGAACTTTGGGATCTAACGATCTTGAAGTTTTTCTGAAGATGTCTGGTCTTCTGTGAAAGATTTTAAGGTTTTTCTGGAATGTTTTTACATCCTTGAAATTATGAAACTTTTTTTTTAAGTTCCCTCAATTTTTCTGAAATTCAAACGAAATAATTAATATAGATCTAAGTCTTTTAACAAAGTTCTCATATCGATCACCATGTTTCGTGTGAATGGTATGTGTGAACTTGAGACTTGGCCTTCATAATAACCCCTTCTGTTTCGCAAAATAAAATAAGAATAAAAGATTTTCACTGAAGTTTATAGAACTGTCCATAAATTATCTTTTCTAATTCATATTTATTTCAATAGTCTAGACTTTCCTGGTGTTTTAAATTATCTTGACTGCTCTGAATTTCTCAGTACTTTTATAAGTATCCGCAGTTTTACTGAAGTTAATTGAATTTCGTTTGAATTTTCGAAAAGTTTTCGGAACATTCTAGGATTATCCCATGATTCCACAGAAGTTTTTGTAAGTCTCTGCAAGTTTCCTACAATTAATGGGATTGCTCTAAAGCTACCTGATTGTCATTGACGTACTCAGGACTTCGCTGAATGTCATAATTTTTTTAAATATCTCTGGAATTTCTTGAAGATATAGCATTGTTTAAATTAATGAAACAGCTTTGAAGTTCTCTGGTTGGTTGATGTCTGGCATAATGCGTACCACCGGTACTTCGCGTACTTGAAGGTTATAAAATAGGCCCGTCACGTAAGTGAAAGTGGTCCTTAGCCTCTTGCCCAATAACTCCTATCCCTTCCTCCCTGCGGCGTCGACTGGGGTACGAGTAACCTTAGGGAAGATCGGGTAACCAACCCCGGTGGGAATTTTGGTCGTATGCTGACAGGGAAGGGGGAGCTGCATCCTTTTCGGAGGATGTGGCTTACAAAACCCGGGCGTCTGTTCTCCATGTAAGGGCGGCTCAAACAACGTCTGACTGGCATCCAGCGGCTGAATACGTAATGCTTCTCCCCGAAAGCTATACCCAAGATGTCAGTCCCATCATGCGGATAGGAGACCTTAAGCCAACCTTCTATTGTCTCCGAAACCTTCAAATTGTTACAGAAACCTATAGTGAAAGATTACGAACTGATTTTATGGCAAGAACTTTTAGCGCTAAACAACGGACAAGAATTGGAACATGGAATGTACTGACGCTAGCCCAACAGGGTGAACTGGCACAACTCACCAGTGAGGCCCACCGTATGAAGCTAGAAATCCTGGGACTTAGTGAAGTCCGCTGGCCGAACTTTGGAGAACACAAGCTGCATTCGGGACAGGTACTATGAGCGCATTATGGGACGCCATGGTCTCGGAGATATGAGCGAGAACGGCGAGCTGCTTGCAGAGTTTTGTGGCAACAACGACATGGTGATCGGGGGTTCGCTCTTCCCCAACGCCCGGTGCATAAAGTAACATGGGTCTCCCGTGATGGATATACAGCGAACCAAATCGACCACATCTGCATCAGCCAAAAATGGAGACGGAGCCTTCTTGATGTTCGGAATAAACGCAGCGATGACATCGCGTCTGACCATGATCTCCTGGGCGGCGAGATCCACCTACGCATTGCGCGGGTTCAACGGCGGGAGGAGAGACTCAGGCGGCGGTTCAACACACGCCGACTGGAAGACCCAGCAGCGAAGAAATCTTTCTTCGCGTTGGCGGCGAACCAGCCCCAGGCTGAAAGAATCCCTAATAAAGATAAATCAATCAATCAATCTTTCGTCGAAGAACTCGAGGCTCGCGCAGCTAATATTCCGGAAGGTGGCAGCGTAGAAGAACAGTGGACGAGCATCAAGAATGCCTTTATTGAAACAAGCGAGAACAACCTGGGTGAGCTGCGCACTCAGAGAAAGGAAGTTAAGCGCTCCTGTATACAGGACAAGCGAGCGTGGGAGGACTCCCTGGCTGATGAAGGGGAGAAAGCCGCAGTAACTGGCGATATCCGTCTCCTCTATGATGTTTCATGACGCCTGAGTGGGGCAAGGATGAACCCAAGGATGCCTGTGAAAGACGCGACTGGACAGTTGCTCACCGACCCCACTGACCAGTTGAAACGTTGTTTTGAACACTTTGAACAACTTCTCGAAGTTTCAATGGTCAACTAACCATCAACATCTCGACATGATCCGCCAAGGGTGGGGTCAACACTGAAGCGCCATCATTGCAGGAGATAGAAGCAGCCATTCGAAGTATGAAGTCCAACAAAGCCCCGGGGGTCGATCACATATCAGCAGAGATGCTCAAAGCTGACCCCATGCTATCCTCACACATGTTGCATCAACTATTCGTCAATATCTGGGACACCGCGACTTTTCCGGCCGACTGGATGCAGGGCGTCTTGGTAAAAAGGCCCCAAGAAGGGAGATCCAACTGTATGCGACAACTGGCGAGGCATCATGTTACTGTGTATTGTTCTCAAAGTTCTGTGTCAATCGGATACAGGAAAAGATCGACGTGACTCTCTGACGACAGCAGGCAGGACTCCGTGCTGGAAGATCCTGGAGCAGGTTAAT